AAATTGAAGAGCAACGTTGTAATTTTCTGTTTTTTTTTAGAGGACCATAAAGTACTTACGTAACTATGTGCCCTTATTTAAGAGTTCATACATACCTTCCAAGGTTCCATTGCTTATTTTGATCAATTTTGTGATTAGCTTTTACATTACAGGTGGACCAGAACACTGCAAAGTGTGGCTGATCATTTTTTTTCAGGCAATGGGCCAGTCCTGAGCTGGGGAGAGTAGATGACTCAARGGCTTGTTGACAGGATATGGTCTTATTTACCTGTCGTTGACTGGCTTGACTTTGGCTTCAGTTCGTAATGCTTGAAGTCATTACCATCTGTCTCTTCGTCAGTGACCTGTATAAAATAGCTGGTATTCTTAGTCCAGCTCTTAGTAGACAGGTGTCCACATCATGAAAATTGGCACCGGTAGGAACCCTGTTGGCTGTCTCAGCACAGACTGTCTGCTAAATAGGCAAAGAAAAGATGTAATTTCTGGAGGTATCTTTTTTTTCTGTATCAGGGTTCAGGCATGCTGATGGGTGAATGTTTGCAGAGACAAAAGTTACTGTATGCCTTTGCATTTTTTTCTTTTTCCAGAGAAATGTATACCATATGTTTGGATTTCTCATTAATCTTTTAAAAATTCCCTACCTAGTTGTCTTGGTTTCCCAACAGAAAATAGTAGCAGGARTCCTGACAGAACAAAACAAAGGAGAACATGCTTCGTTTGAGTGATAGTTTTTAGCTGAAAAAAAGCAATCCTGCTAAGCCAGTGAGAATTTGGAAATAAAAAGCAGCAGGTCTTTCATATGCAGGTGTATTAAAAAAGAAAACAAACCCTGCACCAACTTTATTTATTTATTTTTGTTAGCTGAATCTGACCAGATCAGGATCTGATCTAATATAGTTGCAGGTAGCTGATGCATCGTGTGCAGCCAGGGGCTGCTCTCGGAGCAGTGGCAGTAGCCGCGCCTGGCGGTTAAGCTGCACCGTGTGTGTTGARAGCTCCGTGCAGACTTGTTTGCTCAGGTTCCTCATTGGCTGCGTGTCTCTTGAAGGCAAAATTTACAATATGCAAAAAGCCCATGCGAGATTTCTGTGACTGTTTACATACAGCGGAGATCTCTGCAGTGACAGTTGCCTATGGAGACGAGGGGATAATGGAGCCCAAAGTCTTTCACTGATTGCTGTGCTGCACTTCAACCCATATGTTGGCATCAAGTGCATGGGAGAGCTGTCTTATGTTCCTCTTCACGGGGTTAGAGCCKGGCATCGCTTCTTCAGCCCACATGTAACAACTATTCTGGATTTTGCAGGGGTTGCTTTTAATCCTGCCTCATCTTCTTTAAAGTATATTATCTTGCGAGCAGTGATTCAGACTTAACTGTTCCCACTGCAGTGTGTAGGACTCTCCTCCTATTTCATTGATATAAAAATACACACCACTGTGTTATAAATAGTTCTTTAGTGTTTCTGGACATTTATGGTCGATAGATGCTTTTTGAACGTCTATGGAAAGATAAGCCCAGTTGGTAATATTTAGAGTTAATTGGCTTTCTTACAACTCACTGCYCTTTATTGCCAGTAATAGAATGTTAAGGATTCTAATAGGATCTTCTGATTGCATCGCTGGAGATAAGTGGTGCAACATGCTCGTTCTGGAGGGCTGCTTAAATCATCAGCAAAAGTAGGTTAGGTGACTACAGATTCCCTCCTCGTTGACAAGCTTTGCTATGATTAATAATAATAAAGAAGCCTGACTCACAAGCTATATACCCTTGCTATTGCTACCAACAGGAGTTACATTTCATTAAGAGTAAGGGGAATATGAGAAGTTTTTGAGGTCCCTGTAGGTACTCCTGCGTTGGGATTAAGAACTATAATGGAAAACTGGAAAAGGCAAGTTTTGACCTAACAGCTGTGAATGGACAGGAGAACATGGCAGGGCTGCAGCTGCAGAACAAGCACTAAGGAGACAGCAGCTTTCCCTGCCCTTTGCTGCTGTCTTCATTCCTGCCAAACATCTTAACATTTGAAAGTTTTGGATGCAAAAAAGGGATTTGCACGGCTAGGATAGTGGAATGGACAAGCTCGGTTATGATTCCTGGCTCTTTGACTGTTCTCACTTTCCCCTTTTATTTCACAAACCTGAAATGTTTTTAGMTCCTCACTTATCCAATGACGTCTACTGGTTTCAAGCATGATTTGCTCTGATACTTTGTTTTCAAATTTAGGTTGGGTTTTCTTACTGTCTTAGAGTTCCCACTTCCTCCTTTCTTTTTTTTTTTTTTTATTTTCTCATGGAGAAAAATTAATTAAAAAGTTAATAAATAAAGATTTGAGAACAGGGTAGCAGTTACTAGAATAGTGAACTTCAGCATAATTTTAATCCTATGCTGCCGTTTTTAATCCTATGCTACTGGGATTTCTAACAGCATTAAATCAGGTTTGCAGATTTTGAGATTTTAGATTAGAGTCTTAGTTCTCCCCTTCTTTCCAAGAAACTCCAAAGAATAAAGCTGCAAAGGAACTCTGAAAACTTACTGCCCAGGAAGCTGTAATTGTTTAATAGAACAAAAAAAAAATCAATGGCTGAGAAAAACAGCTCATGCCTGTGGGGAAAAAAAGCTGTCTATTTGCTGATTTTGATGCAGCTATAAGATTACAATGTTCTTGAGCTAAAGAAAGGAAGAGAGATACCACAGAGGAAAGTGGTTAAAGACTTTTTCTTTTTTTTTTTTTTTTTAGGATATCATAATTTTTGAAGGATATAATTTTTGGAGGATAATTGAAGTATAATTAATTGAAGTGTCTTAGAACTAACAAGTAAAGTAATTATGCTCTGTATATCCCCCTGCCCCAACAATAATCACTATTCTCCTACAGAGTAACAAAGACTAATGTCTGCATTTTCTGCTCAGAAGAGCTGTGTGGAAAAATGTCTCTTTCATTTCCATGACACGTAGTTTCTGAAACACTTTAAGTTCATCAGGTGAAATAAARTTTTTTTTTTCTTTTTGTTAATTAAAAATAGTTTAATGATTATGGGAATACTGGTGATTACTGGAGATCAAGATCAAAGAGCCTTTTGTATTTCTACATGCAAGTCAATTGAACTTTTCTCCCCTATTTTCTCTGACTGCAGGTGGATATTCTCACTTCCAGTATCTTGACAGCTCTAGTATGGAATTTTTAAATCTCTTGGAGCTTTTTTTGTTCTTCAAATATAATATATCTCATTCAGGAAATTTAATCCATATCCATCTCAGTAAGATGAATGATTTGGCTACTATATGAATTCCTGTGAGCTAGTGAACGATTAATTATTAGTAGACGCGGGAGCACCTTCTATCTGCAGTATGCAGGGAGCAGCCCATTGCAAATCCAATGTTATGGTGTGAAAGGGTGCGAGCTGGAACTTGGGAGGGTTTTTCTTTTTTTTTTTTTTTCCCTCTTTAAATCTCATCAAGACAGACGTGTAAAAGTATCCAAGTTTCCAGAGACTGCTGAGCTACCAACTGTTCTAGGGTGAATTTTCATTAGATTTTTGCCTCAAAAAATGCCCTTCTGTCAAACTTAACTTCCAGTAAAGAGTTTGTTTTTTGACATTTAGCTGAATAATTCTTAGCTGATCTTATATACATAATTTTCAAACTGCTAGAAATAATTTTACATGCTTGCATTTTACTTTTCATGTGTGGTATGATACTTGATCTAGATGCAAGGAAAAAGGTCCCCTGTTTCCAGTTGTTTATTTCTTTTTATCTTTCTAAAATTTGATTCCAAGTGACGTCTGTGAGCACAGTGATTTTTTTTTTTTCTTTCCAAAAGGCACACGTTCTTCTGCTTTTGAAACTGTCTTAAGTGTTTCTTCCTTTCATTTTGGATTGTAAGTACTGTGATAAAGCCTGARTTAGCAGACAAACCATTTCTCCTTAGGAGTTTGAGTTGTGAGAGTTTAGAAACTGTAGTTGTGAACTTGTCAAACAGAAATTGAAAGTGTTCTAATGTTTTTACCAAACATTATCTGCTTAGGAAAATAGATATTACGAGTTTATTGTCTAAATTAAACCATTAGGCATTTAATACTGTGATCACAGAAGCATCATAGTAACTGGTAAAAATTAGAATAACCTGTTCATCTGGCAATGGATCTTGTTGCTGGTAAAAATAGTTGATATGGTTTTAGGTCAAGGGAACTTAAGTTCTATGACCTTTTAGGTCAAGGGAACTTAAGTACTATGAATTCAGCATGTAACATGAATTCAGTAACATGATTCAGTAACATGAATTTCCATCTCCCTTTTAAGGTGTATTTTGTCCTGGAATAAGAAATAATACATTAAGATGAAACTTCTTTTTTTTTTTTTTCCTGATAGTTGCTAATCTGTACCCAAGTATGAAAAAAGTGGTAAGACCTTCCCTGTTTTATTGTAGCATGTATTTCAGTAGCAGGACACCTGCACCTAGGTTCAACTCTCAGAAATGCTTAGATGTCTAACTCTTATTTTGATTGCTAGTGTTAAAACACTTGAGTACTTCTTGGCTTCTCAGAGCTATGGATATAGGTCTTGATCCTGCAATGCTAAATTGCCAGGTGCATGGCATACTAATGTAAGTAGTCCAGTTATTGCCAATTAGAACTGTGAATGTTAGTAATAAATACCCTGGGGAATGCAGTTTTCCTCAATTAGGCGCTTGTTGTTAATTAACGTAGTGTTTTCTGTAAGCCTTTTAATTTTTGGCAACTGTTTCCTTATTCATTGAGTCAACATGAGTTTCTGAATGGGGATTTGCATGGGAAATACTGCTTTTGATTTACTTATGCAGCAAAAATAGTTGAGCAGTGTTCACTGCTAGAGACTTATCTGAAATGACCTGTATTTGCGTTTTGTTCTTGCTCATCCACAGAACCCTCAGAGCGATAACTGTTCACATGCCAGGATCGTTTATGAGAATTGTTGATCTTCAAAACTCAACTTTCTTGCTCACTTCCTTTTCATACACTAGGTCCTGTTACTGAAGTCAAAACAGATATATATGTCACCAGTTTTGGACCTGTTTCTGATGTAGAGATGGTATGTATTTCTGGAATTCAAATGCCAATTCCTGGTGCTGAGAAACTTAACTGCAGTGAGGAGTGGATGCTTAATCCATGTGGCTTTGTACTCTTCTGTCAGTCAGGCAAAGAAGGCGAGATTAGCAGCGGCTCGTTTTGAAAGGTTATAATTAGATACCTCGAGCTTGATTCTGGTCATATTTGCACCAGCTTTCGGTTATTGAAGGAATTTGAAACAGACTTTCTTGGTGTCGAGGCAGAATCAGGCCCTATGGGGAGCGTGCAAGTGCACTACAGGGGGAAAACAGGTAATGTCGCTGCAATTGCCTTCCCTTTCTGAAACTTGTATTATTCTCAGGTGAATAATAATGACATCATTTCACAAATACTTGTTGGCATTTTCATTTCAGATGAATTCTTTGTGCCCATCTTGGTGCCACTTTTAGCGTCACTTTCAGCAAATGTTTGAGCGATGAGAGTTTTCCTAAGTGTCTGCAGGAATCAAATGTCAAAATGACATGCAAGAAATAGTCACAGAAGACAAATGCTACATTTGCACGTAYGACTATTTGTGCCTGAAAGGCACTTATATTCGTTTGAGGTCCAATCCATCATAACTCTCATCAACTTCTATAATCCAGGCYTATGATAGTTTCTCTTTTTTTAGAAAATAATTCAGAAGTCGCATGGAAGCAAGACAGCCATATGTACATTAAATATGGTTGCACTTCTTTAAAGGCAAGGCAATTTCAGAGGAATAACTGCCTTTCTATGCAGTGTCATCCCGCACTCTGTTATACTCTGATTTCTTTCTGTTCTTACTGAAAGGTGTAGGATAGCAATTTTATTTTTTCCAAGGGCTAGGTTCTCACAGAGGTCTATTACTGAATCACGTCTCACCTCTTCGGTGGTTGTCAGGTACAGTGTGAGGCTGTTCAGGGTGGCTAGTGATACCAGAACCCGATCCCAAGCAGATCYATTAACAAATGTCGTTCAAATATAAAATGAAGTCTACATGTGATCTCAATGGCTACTCTGAAGCATTTGACATGGTGCCACTTGGGAAATTATTATTTATGTTGGAGAAGACAGGAATAAAAACAAGAAGTGTAAAATAGGTCAGGAACTGGCAGAAGAATTTACCACAGATGCTCCTGTTTTCAACATTATCAGACAGCTAATTTTCAGTTAATGTTACCCAATATAATCCAAATATTGCTGCATTCATAAAACTTGCTGAAATAACAGCATRTGAGGTACTCCTGAAACACGGGGAGATCAGGAATTCTTTTAGAAGTGGTTTACTCTGGCACTTAATATAATGAAATAAGCTGAAATCTTATATTACAAAATCTATCCTGTAGAAGCTAGTAACAGGAACAGCTACTATGAAATCATCAGCTAGAATTGACAGTAGGAGAGAGAGACTTAGGTGGATTAACTATAAACCACACCGAGTGTTGCAGCCATGGAAGAGAAGACAAACAGAGTTTTAGGATGCCCTGCACTTATAGAGATGCATCCTTTGCAATGTGAATAGACATGGTCATACAGGTAAAGTTTTAATGATAGTACTTATATAGGAGATTATGCAAGACAAGCAATGCTTTCTGACTTTAGTTCAACCAAATTGCAATTATGTTGAAAAAGGTATCAAGAAAAGCGTTAGATCATTTCTATGTCACATGATACAGTTTTTGTGAAATGCTTTAATCTTTCAAGATGAAAMATATATATTAAAGTGATGCGACTAATGTGGGAGATTGAGCTGTTAGGAAATTTGCAACTCACTGTAGTTTGTGGAAATATGTTTGTGTAGTGGACTTAACATGTTCTTTACTATTTCTTTGCTTCTGTCAGATTCCTTTTTGCATGAAATACAAGCAAATGTAATCTTCGTGTTTTTTTGCAATTTAAAACAGGAATATACAATGGATGTCTTCTTTCGTCAGACGTGGGTAGACAAAAGACTAAAATATGATGGCCCTATTGAAATTTTGAGACTTAACAACTTGATGGTTTCCAAAGTGTGGACACCTGACACTTTCTTCAGGAATGGGAAAAAGTCTGTTGCACACAATATGACAGCCCCAAATAAACTCTTCAGGATAATGAGAAATGGCACCATCCTGTACACAATGAGGTATCCAACTTGCTTGTTCAGCTTCTTACAATTACTGTATGCAAAAGTTATACTGCCTAGACAAAATGGCAACCAGAGACTATTCAATTTGTTCCATTATAGGCTTACAATAAGTGCAGAGTGTCCCATGAGATTAGTGGATTTTCCCATGGACGGTCATGCTTGTCCTCTCAAATTTGGGAGTTGTAAGTTGCAATTATGAAATTTCTTGTAACTAAACTACAGCTTTAAATAATAGAAGTAGATGTTGAACAATTATGAGATTTTGTGAATAATCTTGATCCACAATCCTTATGCAGACAAAACTCCTGTTAAGTTTTTTGGACATTTTATTTGGAGTCTGAAAATTTAAACTTAGTTAGAAAAGGAATGACTGGCAACACTATCGCTTGAAATACATATATATTTTTTTCTCCCAGTTCCTAGAGGTGAATTGAATACTTGGCAAAATTGGAGATTAACKAGAGAAGGCAGAGAGCAGGGTCCATCTGACCTTAAACCAATGAAAAAATTTAGGAAGCTCTAGTTATTTGGCTTTCCTTCCAGGCAATGGAGGGAGATTATAGCATACAAATCTCTCTTAGGACATTGAAGAATTGATCTTAGGTTGTATTTGTGCATCTCCTTGCCTATGGGAAGGAGTCTGTACAGTTAGTGTTAAGTAATTTTTAGAGTGGTGAGGCTAGATGAGAGGAAACTTAGTGCAGGCGATTTTCCCTTCCTGGTTTGAAGTCAAATGTAGATTTTTTTTTTTCTTTTTGAATAATCTCCAAACTTTTGCTAGGAGGGATGTTTTTGGAGGAACATATGCCACACAGCAGAGGGAAGTAGTTAGATTCCCTGATTTGGATCTGCAATAGTGATGGCTGAGACCACCTGGTGTTTGCTGGAGCGCTCCAGCAGCGACGYCCTGTCACTGCTCTGATCCTCCTCCCTCGCTGACTTCCTCTCTGTTGCACTCAGATGTAGTCAGTGGCTGGACATTAATCTGCTTTCCTTACCCCACAATCTTGTGGAAGTGTGCAACGGCAGGAAGCTACTCATACTTTTTCTTTGCATAAATTTAGCTTATACAGCTGGGTAGTCAAGAAGAAGGGAAATTATTTAGAGTCAGTGTCCTTGGAGGACTTTTCTTCCCAGATACAGTGAGGCTGGAGGCCAGATGTTGCCAGAAGTGCCCATGTACTACATCTGCCTGTGCAGAAGTCCCCACCATTGAAGCTTCCCTAGTATATAGCTGATTTTTTCAGTCACCAACCAGCAGAAATTATGCTTAACACTAATCTGTGATATTCCCAATGGAACTTGAAATAAGATGTACCCAATTCAGATGCAAGGCTGTGATTTTGAATTCAATTTTAACAGGAGTTTGAGCTGTGTAGAGATTGAATGGTTGGCCTAAGTTATGTCTTTTAAATGTTGGAATGTTTTCTGGGGCCTGCTTATTTTGGGGTTATTGTGAATCTTTTATTGACCTCTGATTTCTTGCAAATATATTTGTTAAAAGCGATGTTTAGGTACAATCATTATTTTCTATGAAGAGATATGTCCCCAGTCTCCAAAATGTATCTTTCCTATACGTGTGTTTTTTTCCCCCTGTATCAGTATATCTTTAATGATAAAATTTTAGAAAATCTTTATCTTTATTTGAAATTATTTAAAGTTGAACTTTACATGCCTAACAAAAGGCCTGATCTTAAAAGAACTCATGCCTAGACATCACATTCAGATGTAGACTGAATTTGTGTATGATACCCTGCATAGCCTTAGCTACTATTTAGCTGTGGGTGTTTTTCTGGGGGTTACTCAAACGTGAAGGGTGTCTTCTAAAGATACCGGTGTAAGTCTTACCATTGGTTTTGGCATGTTTGGCCTGGAATTAGGTGTGAGAAGCCGTTTCCTCTTTAAGCAAACTGATACTATGTTGTTGTAGATGCATATCCAAAGAGTGAAATGATTTACACGTGGACAAAAGGACCAGAGAAGTCAGTGGAAGTTCCTGAAGAGTCTTCCAGTTTAGTTCAGTATGACCTACTTGGGCATACTGTGTCCTCTGAAACCATTAAATCTATTACAGGTAGGAATCTCATCAGTCAAAATCAACTTGAGGTAAAGCTAAGCCTATAATATTGCCCTATATTTTTTTTCCTGTAATGTATTCTAGTGCATCTCATAGGGTATACATTAGGAGTGAGGACATAAATGGTAATCAGGTTTCTGTCCTTCAGATTTGCATTTGCAGGTTCACTGCAGTAGATTGCAAAGGCCTTTCAGAAAGCTAGGATGAGATCACTACTCCAAGGGACAAAATGAATATTTCTAAGCACTGCTTAAAATGCAGTTTGAAGAGTCAAGAGGATGCTTGGGTGAGGAAGTCATTTCTCAGCACTGTATCCGCATTATGTGCAAAAGATTTGCTTTGTTTGGTGGTGCAAACAGCTCAGGATAGAAATACAGCATGCAGAATAGGTTATTAAAACCATAAAAAGCTCTCTAGTCAGATAAGGATAGGCACAAATGCATTAGTCACAATAGATACTTCTGCTGATTTTTGTGCTCTAAGAAATAAGGCAAACGGCAACAACGGGCACCCTGAATGAGTAAAATCTCACTGATGAGCAGTTTGGTGATAAACAGTCATGTTCCCAAAATATTTTTCAAATTTGGAATCATTTTCTCAACATCAGCAAGTTTGGGTGTTCTGAAATCGTCAAAATTGAACAGATAAAGCAAATATATTTGACATTGCTCTATGGATATTCTTCTCAAAGATTAAACAGTGTTTTGCAATATCCTGGAACCTGACTTGTCTACCAATTCTTACATGTTAGACAGTTTTCTAGAGCTGTTTTGTTTGAGCAATTTACTCAGTATCTGTTAAAATTGCAGGTAGTTCTTTATGAGCAATGATAACATTTATATAATGTACAGCATTATTAATTGTTGTTAGTGATTACTGTATTTATTTATATCTCATTAGCACTCTGTGGTACTGATGTGTAACCCTAGTTGAAAGCTGTAATGCCTCTATTTCATTTAATGTGCATCATTGTTGTAACTGTTTTAGTTTGCATGGAGGTATCACAATGTTCTGGATATTACGGTAAGTAGGTAGCTTGTGTCTTGGGACTATTTGTGAGATGCTAAAAGAATTTTAAAATCAGACTTACACTATAAAAAGTAATCCAGTATTAGTCATGTGTTTTCAATAACAACTTCAGAATAACACTGTCAGGATCTACTACTTTGTGGATTTTTCTAATTACAAATTTCTTTCTCCAAAATAACTTATTTTCCTGTATTTATGTTAATTGGTATGGATAGCATCTTCTTGACAATTTTAGTTGACTGTCTGAAACATAGTTATTCTGCTAAACAAAAACTGTATGCAAGGACAGAAATAATATTTTCCTTTTCTTTTTTTAGGTGAATATGTTGTTATGACAGTTTACTTCCACCTCAGACGAAAAATGGGTTATTTTATGATCCAAACATATATTCCATGCATCATGACCGTGATTCTTTCTCAAGTTTCATTTTGGATAAATAAGGAATCTGTTCCAGCTAGAACTGTGTTTGGTAATTATTACATTTTAATTTTTCCTTTTATTGTACTTCATCTTCTAACAATTTCCAGTAGAATAGTCCTTTTTAGTGTCCAAAGTCTATACTTCCTCTGTAGTGGTGCAAAAGTAAATTGAGGCAAGGTAAATAAAATTGAGGTAATTGAGGTAAGGTAAATAAAATTATTTGAAGCCTTGACATGGAAAGAGAAACTTGGAATTGTAAACCCGAAGTGCAGCGTGGTAGCCTGTGGCAAACAGTGTACATCTTTCTGGCTTTAGAGGATTGGAGGAGTGAATCAAAAAATCTGGCCCTGTGCAATCCAATGAGATCCTTTGGTAGGGATYCATCTAGGGTATTTTATCTTCCAGTGAACAATACCGTGATTACTTGAAGCATGCCCTCTAAAACCCCATTAAAATAGTTTGATTGGGAATGGGTGAGATATGGACAGATATCTTACTAGGTAAGTGTCATCACTGAAAGCTTCCTATCAGTAAGTCTTAGATCCTGTTATTGTAATTTCATGTTTAGTGATCTTCTCTCCTTTCTCCCATTGCCATTGTGAAAATGAAATGAAAAGCCATTAGGGAAATGATTGCAGATATTAAAACCGAACTCATCAAAGTACAGTTGGAAATGAGATGCTGCAGTGAACAATGAAAATATAAAATGTAAAAATACTTCTTTGGAAGACAAAAAATATAAGAAGTTAAATGGAAATATGCTTCCTAGAAAARGAATAAGATTAAAAACGTGGTTAAAGTTAATCTTTATAAAGCAGATGTCTTGACTTTACAAGGTACTGTATTCTAAAATAAGGCTAATCAAGAGGAAAGCCTTCTACTAAGGCCACTAAAGACATACGCTGGCAAGAATTATAGAAACTAATGTTTCTATATGACAGTCCATACCTACATGTAAATAAAGTCTAACGTGGTCTAGCATCAGAAAGTAGACAGGACTAAGGATCAATTCCAGGACCCCCCCACTACACACACACCCAATATGAATTTCACCTGCCTTCAACTCAAGCACTACATTAGGCAAACCAATATATCTCTTAACACGCCCTGGCAATAATAGTGAATACTCCTTTCTGGAAAGTCCTATTAATGCCATGAACTAGAAAAGTGGAATCTGTCCTTACAGACAAACTCAGTAGTTGAAATGCACACGACAGAGAGCAATAGATGTAATAGATGTAATATGCCTAATATCCTTGTAAGTTTTTTTTATCTTTCATAAGCACTAGTTATCTCGGGAATAAAATGCTAAATCTTACTATTGTGCATCCAACTTAATTACAAACAGTGTTTTTTTTTTTTTTTTTTGAATTGGAGAAATCTAGGGACATTACTACTATATAAACTGATATTCTAAAATCACTTAAATTCACTAGAACTTTTTATGCAGATGGAGTTACACAAAGAGTATTGAGTTGCATTTTTAAAAAGATTTTATGCTGCAGTGCTAGGCCAGAATGCTTAAGTAAAATATTAGAACAACCTTTATGAGATATATCAGATCCTGATTGCTGCAGTCAGCTCAGGACACCTGAATCTCATGGTTGTGGGGGCCTGGTGTTTCTCAGACAAAAAGCAGAAGTAATTTTTTCTTTCATGCTTTTTTTTTTTATTGTAAAATATTTTAAATGTATTTATATATAGCTGTGTGCATATCTGACCAAGATCTTGCAAATTTTTAGCTTTGGATAATTATAGTTCATGTGCATATAAAATATTTTTAGCTGAACTTAATTGTCTACCCTGCAGATTGCTATGCACATATCCAAGGGCGATTGCAGTGGCAACTGCATGTCTTGCAAAAGAATGATTTATGTGGAGAAAAGCTGGTAATGACTGTGTCAGCCATGTAATATTGTAGGGCTGGCCACCTCCTGCTTTTAGTTGGGGAACGGTTGGTCATTCAAGTCATTTTATTCATGCACTTTTTAAGTACATGTCCTTTTTATTATTATTTTCAAACAGCTTAGTTGTTTGCTTAAGGCAGAAAACGAAGTCAGAAACAATGGGCCTATGCAAAGATGGGTGTCTTCCATAAAAAATAAGCTTTCCATTGATTTTTTTTTTCTCAGATCTAAACATTTTGATATTAGTGTGGTTTTCTCACACCTTCCTGATGAAAAAGATAGAAGCTCATCCTGCTCTGAGATTTTTCTCTGTGTGCTTTTGTCAACAGGGCTATTGCAGATTTTTTTTTTTTTTTTTTTTTTTTTGTCGTCCCCTCAAGAGAAGAGCCTAGAAGGTGACTTCACCGTGTCCTTTTCTTTCTACAGCAGTGTCTGGGTGAAACTCTTTTGTGTGAGATTACCTGGATTGAATACACCCATCTGCAAAATAGGAAAAGTGAAGATTCTCTTGGAAAACACACTGATTTTTTTTTTTTTTTGCATATATTTTGTAGTATACGCATTCCATCTGAAATTAAAATGTTTACAATTAAAAAAACAACAGTAAAGATACAGTCATGTTTGGTCATTTTTCCCTCAGATTCTCATGGTAGGATTTAAGCAGTATTTACTATATACTAGATGTTTTTTATTTGAAGGATGTATGTGACGCAATCTTCTAACTACTCTTGGAATATCTTGAATTAAAAAAAAGGAAAGCTCAGACCTTAGAATGATTAGCCTTTTTTTCATACAGCATGTATTTGCATTTAAAGTATTACTGTGAAGTGGTCATGTTTTGAGAGCAGTGTTCATGTATGTAAACTTATAAAAGCTGTTCTTTCAGAAGATGAAATGTTAATTGATTTTTTTTTTTTTTTGTTATTGCTCCAATAGTAGCAGAAGGGTTTGAAACATAAAGCGATGGTTTGTAATTAACAGAGTTGTCAACATAATATTCTAGTTTCCCTTAGTGTGAAAATAATTTGCCATGATTTAATGTCACCTGGATTATGAGTGGGATCAGAGGAACCATCACTGAGTAACTGGTAGTATTCTAAAGCTATTAGAGGGAAAGTCGTGTTTTTATCGGCAGAACACAGTACTAGGAACATAATTTGAGGCGTTTAAAGCAAATGTTTAGAAAACAATAACTTCTTGTAGAAATCCTATCTAAATTGACATGACGAACATGTGAAATGAAGGCCTCTGCATTTACTTGGTATGTAGATGATCTGATGGTTGTGGCTTTCTAAGCTTCCTTTAAAAAGTGGTAGCAGTTCTGTGTGCAACAGCGCTCAGGGATACATGGTGGTTGCCATCGCTTAAATTTAGTGTGTTATTTACAAGCAGGAGAGAAAGACCTACCCCTATGCTGTTTATCCAATGAAGAGATGAACTGTCAGATATGGCTGTTTTCTGTTACACAGAAATGACAGTTTTTCTTTTAATGGAGGTTTGATGTTTGGGTGGAGGGTTTTTGAAGATATTAAAACTGTCATATAAAGCRAATGGTGGGGGGGCCAATACCAGAGAGCAAGATCTGTGCCTTGGTCAGTGAAGTTACATCATGCAGTATTTTGTAGTCYAGGGACAGCTTAGCTGAGTTAGTTTATGTGTTGCTGGCGATGCTAAGTTAAAAGTGAAAAAGCCTAGTATTTATTTTTTTAATAGAATGCGGAGTTATTTTTCCCGTTCGTCATTGACATGACAAGTGGTACATTCAGTTAAATGACTTATATAGTGATGTTTTGCAATGCAGCTGTACCTTTTCTTTTGCTGGTACTAGCAGGTTTTGCAGTCACAGATGCAAAGTTCCCACATGATTTAAAATGCTTTGTTTGAGACAACTTGCATTTCTGTTCTACCYGGTTTCAGCAGTGCTTTTGTTTCCTTGAAGGCATAACCACAGTGTTGACGATGACTACCCTGAGCATCAGCGCAAGACATTCGTTGCCGAAAGTATCCTATGCTACTGCCATGGACTGGTTCATWGCGGTTTGTTTTGCCTTTGTGTTCTCTGCTCTCATCGAGTTTGCTGCTGTCAACTATTTTACTAACATTCAAATGGAAAGAGCCAAAAGGAAGACAGTAAAATCCCTCATTGAATTTCCAGCTGCTCCAATACAGAGAAAAAAAAGTACAGAAGAAACAGTCATGGTATGTTTTCAGCTTATACAAATATTTTCCTTCTTTTTGGCAATGTTTCTCAGTAAAACTGACTCGAATTTCCTCCCAGCCTCTCTCTGATCTCCATATCCATATTATTCTGGCATTCTCTCCAACACTAGTAGTTCAGACAGTGAACAAARTTATTGACGTTAGTTGCAACTCATCTTGCCCATCTTGGTCCAACCCAAGAGGCTTCATCTCTTGCCCAGATGAAACAGCAGATCTGGCTTTGGGTTCTCTCAGACACAGACTCATGAAAAATGAGCAATTCCCTCTGGGGAGGGGGTGGGGGGACGGAGGAAAGTACATGCATTACTCTCTAGAATTTGGATCCAGTGTGTTGTATAAGTAAGTCTTTAGGGGCCATGTTTCTCCCATGAATACAATGTAAGTGGGCATAACAAAAGATTAATGCTGCCTCATTTTCCTTGGCAAAAAAATCCTGTAAAATCATTTTTAATTCTTGGAGTATTGGCTGATTGGGTTAGCTCGGAGGGCAGAAGGAGGTTGCATCCATCAGCACATGCAGTCTCTTTGCTCTTCTCTGTCTAGTTGAGTTTTGGAGGGGGCTCGTTTTGATGGCTGTCTTTAGGGAACTGTTTCTTTCCCTTTGCATGTTGATCTGAGTTGGACTGCTAATACAAACCCTGTTACTACTAAGTATAAGGATAGCRTTATAATCTACACTGTTTGTATCTTGTAATGAATTAAAATATGCTGAAGCATTACAGTCGTACCATGGAGCCTCTCCCTGGTTATAAAGGTTCTCCTTTCATTGTATGTATTGGCTGCCTAGAGTTTATTTATTTCTCAATCAGTTATGTTTTGGGGAAATTCTGAGGAGTGTGGGATGAAATGTTTGTGTCTGCCATAAGTAACTGTTTTCACATAACTTCACTTTGTGCAGGAGCTCACCTCAGCCCCTGAGAAAGGTTTGTTTAGTGGAATGGTTTTCAGCTTTAATAGCCCTTTGGGTTAGATGTGGCTGTGTTGTAGCTTTCTTAGTGTGTGGGCAAGCTAATAAGGACATTACCTCATTTCTGGTTGAATTCACCAGTGCCTTTCCTTTCCTTCCTTGTCATGCTCYGATATCCCTAGTAGGTGCTCTGCTCCTCCTCCCATTCATCAGACACGTAGCTAACAAAGCTCTTGGGACACTTGTACTAGGTTGACCTTATGGTAGACCTGTAATTCCTCTTTGTGGCTGACCAGCTTGGCAGCACCAGTCAAGAAGGAAAAGGTTGACACCAGCATTGTAATTTACCCTTTCTGCCAGGCTGACTATCTAATTTTCTTTGACTGAGCTGTGATTTAAGAACCACAGTTTTAGACTAACTCGTGTCTTCTGTGTCTTTTCATCTCTCATTTGTCTCCTTCCCTATTCATCTGCTCTTTTTGTCTTCCCACCCCTTCCATTTGCTATCACTCCTCAAGTGCTGTCCACCCACTTCCATTTTTCTTCCCCTTCTTTACTCTCCTCTCATGTATCATTGCCGTTTGCAGTCTCTTGGCTGTGTTGTTCTCTTAGATCTCCATTTTACTTAAAAAGGTAGATGTGCTCCTGGAACACGTGACACATGTCACTTCGTTTTCTGCTCGTAAGAGACTGGAGCAAGAAGAAGTAAGCCTGTAGTAGCATGCTCTTCTGTTTGTATAGAGAGATGTGAGTGCTGTTGGTTTATGCCAATCTTCTTGATTGTACAGCATAAGCATGGAGTTTAATCCAGCACCTTCGGCATTCCTGGAGAGAGTTTTTAGTGCTTTTAGATATTGTTAGTTTTCACTTGAGTTCATAGGCAAATGAATTACAACCTAATAACAATTTCATCCTAGATTTCTTTATGAGACCTGATTAAAACATGAAAAAGAGATTGTAGTCTTATTGGGGGGGGTTGTTATGAAGATTTGGTTTGGGTGAATGGTCAGAATTGCTGTAAGTCAGTCTTGTGGTGTTCTGCTTAATCATTTACATAAAAATCTTGGAGGAAAACTTATTTTTAAAAAACATCCAAATTTAAGCAAAGCTAAATAAATTGAGATGTAAACAGTGCTGTTCTGCTGCTAAATTAATATCCTTATGATACCTGTCCTAGTGTGCCTGCAAGGATCTTGAGACCTTAAAAGTGCTCAAGGAAACAATCTACTTTTCTGAAGGTCTGCATATCAATATTAAGAGCATGTAAGCCAATGATAATGTTGATATTAAAAATATATTGTTTTTATTTTTTATGGCTTTTCCTCCAATCATAATACACTAAAACTTAAATCTTTTCTGGRGCAGAGATATAGGGTGAGCCTGCTGATACTGTTATAAAAAGATGTAGCTATCCTGCAAATGCTGGTTCATCCTGTTAGTGACTGGAGGATGACTTCTGTTCTTGTGTCTCGCTGCACAGAACCAGTCGATAGGCTGTTGGACTTTGCCTTACAAGTTGTAAATGTAATACAAATCCTTCTCCCTAAAACTTTTGTGGTTCTAGTTCTAAAAGTTGAATCTAGTGTTATACCTTGCTATGAATCCTTTTTTTTTTTTTTTTTTTGAATGTATACTGTGTAGTCATTACTGATTTTAATATAATCTCAACTTCGCTGTGAGGTTTTGGTCCACAAAGAATATAGGACAATAGCCTGGCCTTAGTGTACAGTTATGTTATTTCTTAACATAAATAGTATTTGTTTTGTTAAACAATAATCTTTGATTTCTTATCCCACTTAGTGTTTAGAAGTCTGTCCTGCATGGTCAGTATTGTGCTAAAAATTCTAGTGTTAGCAATACAATTGTCAGAGCTCAAAGAAAAGTTTTATTTTAAACTTGGCACTCCCTTCAGTCTTTGCCTAATTTGGTGACCTTGCCAGTGCCCCAAATATTTCATTTAGCTGAGGAAGAAATGTGAATATTCTGAGAGTTAGAGTACAGATTAGGAATGAAGGTGCCTAAATACTTAAATCTTACAATTCTTTCTGGTCTGTGTCTCAACATTTGCACCCTGCTTGGTACCTCCTGCTAATCTGGAGCAGGAGGCGGGTCGAGTTCCCTTATGCTGTTCTCTGCCTTGAAAGAACAGTTGAGGTTGTTACAGAAAAAAAGCAATGCACTAATATACTTTTAAATGGAGATTGACCATTGATTGTATGTTATTTACAGGGAAATTATTTGTATGTTTGACTTTTTCAAGCAGCTGTAGTGGCATCATTACAGAAATGACTTTTGAAGGGAAAGTGTTTGATTATAAAATTGGGTTCTGGGTTTTGGTTCTTAGTTTTGGTCAAAGAACCAAAAATCCTCGATCAYGGATTTTTACTATGTATCTTGTCATGCTAGAAATTAAGTGTATATTAATAGTAGAGTTCAGTAAGGAAGTTCCCTGTACCCRGTTGGAAGTCCCTTTTTGATAAGCATGTTTGATCAATTTTTGATCACAGAATTAAAGTGGGTTTTCCATATTGAATCCATCTGTATATTTTTAGGACAAATTAGAGGTTTTTGTGTGTATATGTATATGTGCTTTTGTTTTGGATTACTTAACAAAGACAGCTCATATTATTATGATCAAATGATTTATGTTCATTTTTATTCTGTATTTCTCGACCACAACCAGTACAGCTTTACTGTAGCCAACATGGACTGTATGTTTTGCCAAGTTTTTTGTGAAATTATTTTTTATTGTTTTGGAGCTGTGCAGTGGATTTGACCCAATATATCAATTACAGTAAACATTGAATATAYTTTGGAGGTTAATTAAGCAATCTGATCCTTGTTAATTCAAACAAAGTGCTGCTATGAAGCTGATTTACAAAGTCAGGGGGGACGGGAACTGCCTTCTTGTGCCCGCAGATGCAGCGTGTGCTCCTTTATCACCTGATGCAGTTTTAGCCTCTCTTTGTTCTCCCCATTCTGAATTTTCCTTCTTCTTTGCATATAACCTTCTAGTACAAACTGATGTATTTCCACAATGAGGACTTCAGAGCAATCCACTGAAATCGAGGAGTCCAGTGAATCCCAATTCCTGCAGTCGTCTGAATAGGAGATTTCTGGCATTAGATGTATTATGGAATATATTTTTTTCTTGTCTCTGAGTTTGAGTTTGTTCTTGCTATTTAATTTTACTATACATACTCAACCAATTATTACGACTAAAGTAATTTTGCAGATGGTAATTTTGCAGTGAGTGACCCTTGACACCTGTATTTAATTATAGTTCCTTTGCTTAGGCTTATGGGCTATAAGAATTTAACAAATATTGTGGCACCCTACCTTGCAAGACTCTACACTTCTCCCAGAAGTCTGTCTAAACACATTTCTAAGATCTGGAGATCAGAAGTCTATCAAATTCTCTCCAAATCTTTTAAAAGAAGACAGATGGCTCACACCGTGGTCTCCTGTGATTTGCATGTTTTGAGAGCAAGTTAAAGTGCTTACAGGTTAGAAAGAACGAACCTGTCGTTAAGTGTTGTACACTCCTTTCCTTAGTAACACCAGCAGTGTTTTTTTCCAAGTAGGTGTGAGGCACAAGTGAATGATTTATCCTTTGCAGTTGGCTCTTAAGTCTATTTATATGCTTCTGCACCTCTTTCTTCTCACCGTATCCCTATGAAAGCTTTTCTTTTCAGATCTACCCAATTTTGGATTTGAAGTATAACTGAAAAAATACCCTTTAAAATACGTTCCTAAGCACCATTAACATGAGCTTCAACCTCAGCTGTTTGTTAGAAGAGTGCAAAACTTGAGGAATAGATCAGGCTCAGACAAACCTTTTGAATTGAATAATTTCTTAAGTCACAAATTTTTGGCCCTTGAAGCTGGGCTATCTCTTCAGTGTGACTTGCGTAGTCTTGGACATGGAACAGCATTTCAGTTTTTAAATTTTGTTTTCCTTGGTTTACTTCTCCACTGCTTGACATATTATAGATTTTTTTAGTATATTTTTAGGTGGCATTTAAATCTCTGATCCTGTTAGGAACCAAATGAAGGATTCTAGACCCAAAAA